AAATGATGAATTTTATATCATGTGCATTTTACCACAATAAAAACCCAGGAAAGGATAGGGACACGCACACACAACAGAATTACCACAAATACAGTCTCAGAAACCAGGGTGACTTGACAATGGACATCTTCCCTTTACCAGAAAAGTCTTTCAAGTGACCATGATTAGTTACAGTGACCTTTGCTTTGAGGTGACCAATCAGTTACATTTCCTGTTCTCATCTTCAGGCCAGAACTTTCTATTTTCACAGACAGTTTTGAGGAAGGCATGGCGTTGTGTACAACTGAGCCAGAGTGTCCTGCCTGAGACCTGTCTGTCCTTGATCATGGGTGACAAAGGGGCTACAAGTCCTCAGATTATAAAACTCCAGAGCCACAAGGGCTCTGAGCAGACTTGTGAGATTAAAAAGACTTTTCTTCTACCTAATAAAAAATTACAAACTCAGAAAACATTTAAAATAGTGACTTCAAAAGCCACAGAACCAGCAAGCAGCAAGCAGAGCCCTGTCCTTTCTTGTCAGGGTCTTCCTCCCAACCCCTTCGGCAGTGGCAAGTTCCTCCCCATGGTGTCTTTCATATGGAGGCAGTGCCCAGCAAGGCGGAAGGTTCTTGTGAACCAGCCATAACTGTGCCAGGTTAACAGGGGCAGGGTGAGTCTGTGCACAGCAGACTCGAAGGCTGGAACAGGTGTCAGGTTGTCCAGACTCACAAAGCCCTTATCTTCAGTTAGCTTCATGCCTGACTACATGTCTCCTGAGCCCTAATGTTGAGTCTTTTGCCTTTGAGCTCCCCTGGACCACCCCAACTTTTCTGCCTGACAACCAAGTGTCACCCAGAGGCAAAGCCAGAGACAAGGATTGATGGTATTTAGACATCTGGTGACAGGCGCAGGTCGGATTCACCAGAAGGGGATTTCATTTATTAAGAACCCCACACTCAGCAGAGCACAGTGGCTCACACCTGTGAGGTGGAGTTTAGGAGGATCACAGTTCATGGCCAACTTGGGCAAAAAAAGTTAGTGAGATCCCATCTCAACAAACAAGCTAGGCATGGTAGAGCGTGCCTGTGATCCCAGGATCAAAGACAGAGGCCGGCCTGGACAAAAATGTGAGACCCTATCTGAAAAATAATTAAAGTAAAAAGGACTGGGGGTGTGGCTCAAGTGCTGGAGTGCCTGCCTGGCAAGCACAAAGCAGTTCAAACCCTAGTACCATGAAAGAGAGAGAGAGAGAGAGAGAGAGAGAGAGAGAGAGAGAGAGCGATCCCTATCCCCCAGGATTCCTAGGTGTGGAGTGTTTCCTACTTTTCACCTGAGTACCTTTGACTCAGCTGGAGTGGTGGAGCTGGTTTTTCTGGGTCAGAGGAGTTGTTAGCCATGAGTGGAAGCCCAAGTCCAGGGAAGGGAAGAGGAGGTGAGAAGAGTGAGCATGGTCAGGAAATCAGAATGAGGATGTTAGCGCAGCACTTATTACCCCTGCCAGTGTTGCTCTAGGTGTCTGGGAGAGGCTCCTTCTTACCAAGATGCAAAACCAACCTCCCCTAAAACCCTGCAAAGGACTCCTCCACCCCTGCTCACCATGGGTAAGTGAGAAAAGAGAAAGTCAGTTGCTTTTCCCCAAAAGCCCCGAGGTTCCTGACTTTGGGGTGTCTTTGTTGCTTCATCCTGGTCAGGTTCCATGGGCTGCTGGATTTTACCTGAAGTCTCTAATGGCTGCAATAACTGCTTTCTGGTGAGATCACATAGGACACCGTGAGACTGGAGCAAGTGTCTGGCCCCCCCACCATCATGCACTGTGGGCTTCAAACATGGGCTCCCTAGATCATACTGAGCTGGGTGGGATGGATGGGTTGGGGGCAAGAATTACATCCCTCCAGAGATGGAGAGGGGCAGTGGGTCCTTCCCAGGGGTAGGGAGCTGGGGGACAACTCAGAACCCCAGGACCTCTTAGAACTCTTGCCTCATCCCTTAACATGTCATTAGAACCAGGCTGACCACTGAATGATACCCCCCAGGTCACTTATGACCACGAAAGGAGGAGCAATCAATTGTGCTGGGGAAACAGCACACACAGGACAGTCCAGAGCATGGTGCTAATCATCCTTGCTCGACAAGGACACAAATCAAACCACAGGGGAATCCAGGCATTGCCATTTCTCACTAATTCCTGGCTCTCCTGTTTATTATTACTAAACAAAGGCACCAACTCATCAAAGCAGATAAAACTGTCCATTTCTGGTGGAGACACTGAAACGAGCAGGCCATAAAACTAGGAAACCTTTGCCTATTTCAGGCTGTTCCACTGGTATAGTCAGAAGAAACTCATGCTGATAATCTTTGTTATACAGGGATACGCAGAACCTCAGGGTAGGAACACAGATTTTTCGGTTAATTATTAAAAAGTCACTCACAGGAGGTAAAGCAGTGGTGAGTTCTTCCTGTGTAGACAAACAAGTGTGGGAGCAGGCACTAGAGAGACTACAGTTCAAAATTTGGCCTGTAGAGGGCAGCATCTCTCTGGCAATGACTACACTGCATACTTAGGTGATACTGCAGGAAACGCATTTAATGGACCAAGGAATAAGAGTTTTAATTTTTTTTTAAATCAAATCAATATATCTCCAGTAAGCAATTTCCACCGCTACATGTTTTCTTATAGGGATGCTTCTCTTTTTTAAAGTACCATGCTAGGTACATAGTAAGCTTTTAATAACTACACACTTATGGATTGATCAGTTAGTTAAAGATAACCCAGATTTGCCTGAGGCATGAAAAATGCAGACTGAGAAGGGAAGGAAATGAACTAGAAAAAGCACTGCTATGGTTTGAGTGTCTGTCCCTTTCCAAACTCACGTTAAAATTTAATTGTATTAAGAGGGGGGACCTGAGTCAGATATGGGTGGCTCACACCTGTAATCCTAGCTACTCAGGAGGCAGAGCGCAGGATGATAGCAGTTCAAGGCCAGACTGGGAAAATAGTTTGTGAGACCCTATCTCGAAAATACCCAACAGAAAAAGGGCTGACAGAGTGGCTCAAGTGGTAGAGTGCCAGCCTAGCAAGCATGAGGCCCTCAGTTCAAACCCCAGTACTACCAAAAAAAAAAAAAAAAGAGAGAGAGAGAGATGAGACCTTTAAGAGATTTAAAGCCTGGCTGGCTTCATGAGGAGATTGATGTGATCATTACAGGACTCTGTTACCATGGCAGGGGATTCAGGGGATTCCTTATAAAAGGATGAGTTGCCCCTCCTCTTGCTCTTTCCTGCCCTCTCTTTGCCCCAGGATGACAAAGCAAGAAGGCCCTTGCTGGATGTCGGCAGGGTGATATTGGACTTCCCAGTCTCCAAAACTGTGATTTTTCTGCTCTTTCTATACTACCCAGTTTCCCGTGTTATTTCAACACAAAATGGATTAAGACAAGCACTTTGTTTTCTGGTTAGTAGCTTACCCAGGAAAACTAAATGCATTTGAAAATGTCCTCAAGCTCTTTCTCCAAGAGCAAGACATTATTCATTTAATTCTTTAAAGATAAATAAAACCAGTATTCTTGGTCTTATGAATCTTCCTTCTCATGTCAAAGTTCATTATTAGATATTATTAGATACACAAGTTCCAAGTTTAGCAGGCTTATACATATTTAAAGCTTTTACATTTATGCTCAAACGTGTTGAGCCAACTAGACTCTACAGACTGACTACAGCTATCAAAATCCATCTCAAGCCCCCACTGAGGAGGGAACATGAAGAGCAGGGCAGCCCAGCTGGCCTTGGCTAGCCAAGCAGACGTGCAAATGTTCCCTGGGCCCTGCTCTGTCTGTTGGGACTTGTCCTGCAGCTATCTGTCCATCCCTCAGAGCATCATGGTTTTCTAAATAGCAAAGAATGGGCACCTTTAATGCCACCAGTGTCTCAGAGCACCCCGATTCTAGGTAGATCCCTTTTCTTGAGAGACTGATAAGCTCAGGCAGCTTCGAAGTGTGGGTTCCTAAGGCTGTCACAGGTGAGGGACTCACTCCACAGTTCTTGGCCTCTTAAAGGGTGGTGGTCTTCCACAAAAGCTGCAGATTGGTGTAACAGATTCACCCCTAATGACATCGGGCTAGCCAATGGCTACTGGTTCCCTATAGCCAGGTTCATGGTTGTATTGCTTCAGTGGTTGAAGCCTCTGCAGGAAGGGAAGGAAGCCAGGCAACAAAGCTGGGAGGGAGATTTCTGTGTCCTCACAACCAGCAGGGCCACTGAAGCCAGAGGCAGCTGCCTCTCTCTCTGACTGTAGACAGCACAGGAGTCTGGGCCACCATCTTCCACTCCTGAGCTTGCTGTGTGTCCCCTGGGAGTGCTGCAGTGTTGTTGCTGGACCCAGCTTTCAGTCAAGGCCCTGGAGGGACATGATAGGGTTCCACACCTCTCACAGGGTGCTGGGCTACATGTAGGTGGGCTCACCTAAGGAGGATGGGAGCCCACCGGTGGTCCCGCAGCCAGGGCATTTGATGGTGTGGGATGCAGTTCTAGGATTCTCTCTTCCCTTCCCCAGGATGTGGAATAAATAAGGGGCCTTGGCTAAGGAAGTTTGCAAGTGCCAGAAGCAAAGAGAGGGTCAGGAAAGCCTGGGAGGGGGAGTGTCAGCTGGGGAGGAGAGCCCCACCTTGGGGAGGTGAGGCTATTGATCAGGGGCAGAGCAGGAGAGTCACAGAGGCATGGTGGGCACCAGAGAGGCTGTGGGTTTTAGACTGTAGATAGCCCTCCTTACCCCATTGTGTGACCAACAAAGGTCACATACCACCAGACCTCCCATCACCACAACAAGCAGGCAGTGCCCAGCACCGGGCCCATCTGGACCTGGTACAGACACAAGAGCAGGGATATGGCTAAGGGAGATGGCACCCCTGTGTCTTTTGAGGGTGAGGCTGGCGCTTGGTGGCACTCTGGTAGAGAGGAACCAGGGGAGTCAGCCCTCTCTCTGCCACCCCACTGGGGAAAGACAGGAGGCAGGGGAGGAGCATCCATCACTTTCCACCCCGGGGAAGTGCAGAGGAGGCTCCAGGTTGGTTGGCCATGATGTGGTAGATGGACTCCCGGAAACGCTGGTCTCGGCTCAGACGCTTGGCTACCTCTTTCAGCTCCTCTATGTTGTTGGCTTCCAGTTGGGAGGTCATAAAGGACTGGGATGGCTTCACTGGGAAGACAGAGCCCACCACCTCATGAATGACCTCCCCTCTTCACCAGGCCTTGGCCTTGACCCTGAGCCCAGCCTTCTCCCTTGTTCCCATTGCTATATGCTACCAACCTTCTCCCAGCACTTCCTACCCGTGGACTTCCACGATCTTCTGAGAAACCCAAGGCCTGAGAATCCACGAGAGCTGGTGGTAGTGCCAGGTTCAAGGCCACACTGTCCAGCCTCAGAGCTGGCCCAGCCCTGCTTGCTCCCCACTCCGCCAATTTTTGCCTTGTCACCTACAGCCTGTGCCCGTGGGACCCCCACGAGGGCAGCAGCCGGCCACACTCACTGTCGTTCCAGGAGATGCTGGACCGGCGCCGGTGGAAGCGGCAGCTCTTAATGCGGCGGGTGGCTGCCTTGTGGATGTAGACGGAGTTCTTCATGATGACCGGCATCTTGGCCTCCAGCTCTGCATTCCGGATGCACTCCTCAAAAAACCCTGCGATGGCACAGTCAGAAGGGCAGGAGGACTACATCCTTCCCTGGGCCCTGTCCCTCCCCTCCCAAGGATTCTGGCGGGTGGAGTAGAAATAGGCTGGTCCCATCCCTTAGAGACCAGAGAATCTTTGCACCTCAAACCACAATCTGCTGCCATCCCAGGAGCAATCTGCTGAGCTCTGAGCTTTTACAAGGGGGAAGAAGTCTCAAACCCTCACCCCAGATCCAACTGCTGTATGGAAGCAGCAGCACCAAGGGTACCCCTGCAAGCAGGGGTCAGGAGCAGAAACCCCAGCAATGACCATCTCACACACACAAGGCCCTGCCCCATGCTCCAGCTTGGCTGGGCTTCAGGGCTGGAGGGTTCAGGGAAGGACCCAGGAAGGAAGCTCACTTTTCAGATGGCTCACATCCGCCCGCATCCTTTCCTCCTTCTCCTTGTTCCGCACCTTGGAGTTGAGCCCTTGTTCCAGGCTCCGCAAGGCCCCCTCTGCCTCCCGCAGACGCCTCTCCAGGTCCATGCGGACCTTCACCTCAGCCTGAGGAGGGAGGTAAGCCAGAGGGAAGTCAGATCCCCAGGGGCTCAGGGAGCAGTTGCCATCTCCCCAGAAGCCTTCCCTGATCACCCTGGCTCAATGGGCTTAAATGGAAGCTTCTACATTCTGCCTTTCTATCTCGCCCCTGCTCTCAGCAGTCATCTTATCAATGATGGGCACACTGCTTCCTCTCATGGTGGCTTCATGCCCTGTACCTGGACAACTAGTCAGATTGGCAGGGAGGATTTGGGCAGTTAGCCTGCTAAGTGCAGGGATGGGCAGGAGTCCCAGGAGTGGGGAAGGACTCTGGGCAAGAGTGCCTCTGGCAGGCCAGCGCACCTTGAGCTCCCGCTCGGCCTGCTGCTTCTCTGCTGTCAGCTCCTGCAGCGAGTTCTGAAGCGCCTGGGACTGACTGGAGTAGAACTCCCGCTCCTCCTCCAGGGCCCGCGAGCGCTCCTCATTCTCCTTCATCCTGCCAGCAGGAGAGGCCCTTACTCGATGCTCAAGTGCCAAAGGGGGGGCTGCCTGAGCTCCCAGAACTTTCTGGGTCCAGTCACCCAGGTGACGAGAAGGATGGTGTGGACAGTGATGGGAGCCCTAGGCTTAGAGGTAGAATCCTGGAGTCCTGGGTCCAAGGTTTGCCAGTTCTGTGACCTCAGAGAAGTTCTGTGACAGCTCCGAGGCTCAGTTTCCTCATAGGTAGGAAGAGGCAAGGGAACCTGCCCGGCTGCTTATAAAGCACTGTTCTATGGACCCAATGATGTTCTGTATGGTTCATTATCGCAAAAGATAATTGTCAGCTCAGCTTTGCAGAACAAAGATTCTCTTCTCATTTGCCTTCTGGGGAAACTGAGTCCTGACCCATCTTGCCAGTGCCAGCTAGAACTTGAGCCCAGTGATCCAGCCTGAAGAAAGTTACCAGCCCCTAGATCTCGAAGGTCTTACCGCTTCTCGGCCAGGAGCTTCTCTGCCAAGAGCTGTTGCATCCGCTCCTCAATCTGCCTTAGGTTGCTATGGAGACCCCCATCAGCAGGTGGCTGCTCACACTGACTGACTATAGACTGCGGCTGGTTCTTACCCTCTTCCAGCATTTCTAGGGTTTTCTTCTTCTCTATGGAGAGTTCCTGGCACAAAGATAGGAAAAGAAGAGAAAGAGCCTAGTTTACCTTCTCCAACATGGCTGACTCACCAACCTTTCAATTCCAGGAAGTTCCTCTTTGAGGAACTCTTGAGATGTCTTATTCCAAGATTTTTCTCACAACATGGCAAGGTTACTCCTCAGTCAAGGGAGCCAAGGTGGATCCCAGTGTGGCTTCCAGTGGATATGACATCTATTAGAACCAGGTCCCAAGGCCCAAGGGTTGCATGTCCTCTGGGTGTCCTTATTCCTTCAGGGGACAATGGGTAGATATATTGGACTAATATGAAAAACACCAAACAGAACCAATCATAGAGCAGATTTAAGTGTCCTCTGCATTTTTCAGCTGAGATCTTACACTACACAGAAATTCCAGAGTTAAAACGTCATGGGAACCACCTCCCATGACATGAAGCGGGGAAAGATAAATAAGGACCACAAACAAAGCTGCAGCAGCCAAGGGAGACTAGAAACCCTTGCAGCCTTCAAGGCAATTCATGGATTCAGCAAACACACATGGGTCACACACACACACACGCTGAGCTCACTTCAGGTGCTGGGCTTGGAGAGACCATCAAGACAGGGTTCAGTGAAGTCCACGGTTTGGAAAACACAACCTAGAGTGTTCGTCCCATAACAGATGTGCAAAATGCTGTGCGAGCCCAGAGCTCAGAGCAAGTACCTGTCTAGAAGGATCAGAGAAACTTAACTAAGGAGATATTTGAGCTGAATCTTAGAAGGATAGATAGGAGTTCTCCAGGCTGAGAAGATATGGAAAGGATATACTTTGCAGAAGGTACAGTATGGGCAAAGGTATGGGGATGACAGAGCTTCTCTCCAGGTGACATGAGTTCGGTGGTTGAAGCAGGGGTTGAGTGTCCTCAAGGGGCAGCAGGGGAGGAAAGGCTTAAGCCAGAGTTTGCACTTGCATACCATGCTAAGGACTGTGCACTTTGACCTTTCACACACCACTTCCTCCTCCTCCTCAGTTTCTGTGGCATCAGATGAAGGTGACCTGGCAGTTGATCCCTCTTCATGCTCAGTTTTACCCAGGAGCAGTCAAGTGAGTGACCACAAGAAGGATGTGGTGTGTGGCTCCACTGCCCACCCTAATCAACCCTCCATCTACTATAAAAATACAAGCACCAGAGAAAGTGGGTTTCCTGGGGCCACTGGTCATCACAAGGACAAGGTAGAATTTACCCTCTGGGTCTGGGAACGACCAGTTCCCGCTCTGGGCCTCATGTATCAGCTGGAGTTCCTAGCTATCCACAGAGGAGATCCTTTAGATTAGTATCTCTTCCTGCACACTCCCCTTTACAGAAACTCCCCTGGGAAACACTAGTTAAAACCAGAATCACGGGGCCCAATCAACAAGCCTGCCTTCCAGGCAATCAGCCCACCAGTGGCTCCTCACCTCCAGTGTCTGCTGCAAGGACTCGGTGAGGTGCCTCAGTTCCTTTTTCTCTTGTTCAACACCTTTTAGGCATCTGGCGGTAAGCTCTAGCTCCCTGTGGGGACAGAGGGCTGGATATGACAGTGCCCTCCCTCCCAACCTCTGCACGTAGACACACTTCCACTGCATTTCCTGATATGGCACAGAAGGTTCTTGACGGCAGTCCTCTGCAACCCCAGGCCCCTAAAGCAGCTGCAGTGTCTGGACTGAAAGGAGAGCCTTGCCAAGTGTGGTTGAAGTCACTTGCTTCAGGTGCTCACGCATCTGTCAGGTAGGGCCACCCCACAGGCAGAGAGAAATCTGGAGAAACTGAGGGACCCAACCCACCCCTGTCTTCCCTGGTCAGCATCTGCTAGAACTCACACTCACTGTGACATGGGACATGGCTAAGGCCCCTCTCTGGGGTGACAGACTCCTTTTGCCTTTTTTCCTTCCTTTCTTCCTTCCTTCCTTCCTTTTTCTTTTCTCTCTTTCCTTTTTTCTTTTCTATTTGCTTATTTTTAAAAGTTTTTTTGAGACAGTCTCACTCTGTAGCCCAGGCTAGCCTCAAACTTGTGACTTTCCTGTCTCTGCCTGGGAATTACAGTTACAGAATTACAGTAATGCTGGGATTACAGAATGAGCCACCTTGCCCAGCTCTCCTTCCACCTTAACAAGTCTTGGCCACCACAGGCTTTTACACCATTTTTCCCTCCTCCTGTTTGGAATGTCTTTCCCTTCTCCTGCTCAAATTTCCAACACCAACTTTCAGACCCAGCTCCATCTAGTCTCTGTTTGAGTCAAACGATTGTACACATATCTTAATTCCTATGACACGGGAAGTCTGCACAATGCCTCTGGGCCTGACTATAGATTATTGTGTTAATGTTTCTGGGTATGAATCTGGTTTTTCCCAGACTCATCCCAACTAGATGGTTAGATCTCAAGAGAGGGGACTTATTTTCTATTGAAGTGTCCAGCACAATTTTGGAAACTGAGTTGATTTCCTTTTTGATAAAATTCTTTGAGTTCCTCCCTCCCCCAAATACATATCATTTTTCCCTCCTCCTGTTTTGGAATGTCTTTCCTTCTCCTGCTAAATTTCCAACACCAACTTTCAGACCCAGCTCCATCTAGTCTCTGTTTGAGTCAAACGATTGTACACATATCTTAATTCCTATGACACGGGAAGTCTGCACAATGCCTCTGGGCCTGACTATACATTATTGTGTTAATGTTTCTGGGTATGAATCTGGTTTTTCCCAGACTCATCCCAACTAGATGGTTAGATCTCAAGAGAGGGGACTTATTTTCTATTGAAGTGTCCAGCACAATTTTGGAAACTGAGTTGATTTCCTTTTTGATAAAATTCTTTGAGTTCCTCCCTCCCCCAAATACATATCTAATTGATTTCCTTTTATAAAGTTGTAAGAAACTTTTTTTTCTGGGCTATCACTGATGTTCAGTGATGATGACAAGAATGATGACATCTATACCATTGACACCACCCCAAGCAGTAGTCTCCAAATTCCTGGATAGACTGCGTCTAAGTCACTTTGGGTACTTTCTTTAAAAATATAGATTTGGAGGCCCTGCCTTCATAACGCTATAATGTGTAATATATAACTATAAAGTGTGCAAACAATACTTAGGACTAAAGATCCCATGTGACTTCAGTAGCCAAAATGTGAAAGGACTGTGCAGGAGAGACAGAGGAGGTTGGGGTATTGGCTAACAGCACCTCTAGGCCAGGCCTTTGTTCCTGACTGAGCCTGGGTTGGGGGCTGTCATGGAGACAGGAGGGGCCTGTTGCTTGGGAGGATGCCATTTTGCACTCACCCCCACCTCATGCTGAACTTCACACCATTTCAAGACATCATTATCTATGGCAGAAATGTCCCATTTTTGGGGAGAGGTATCCACAGCTTCTTCTGGGCACACCCAAGGCCTGAACCATTGGGAAAAGTGGTATCTCCTGGGGGAAGCCTCTACTATATGCCTTAAGTTGGGGCACCCCTTCTGCACCCCTCCTGGGGCCCTCCACCACCTCTTGATCTGTTCTTGCTCCACTCTCAGTTCCTGCACCACCTCCTCAAACTGCTGCTTCTCAGCCTCCAGCACCTGGTTCAGGCGCTCAAGCTCCTAAAGAGAACCAGAGAAAAAAGGTGGGTGTGGGGAGGAGGGAGGGACCACTGAGGCCAGGAGTCCCCCACTAGTCCAGGGAACACTCTGGGATTTGGCTCAGTCTGGTGCATAGGCTGGGCCAGATTTGGAATTAAGTCCCAAGGAAGACTGGCCCCACTCAGAGACACACAGTCTCAACCAACCCACAATCTGCAATGAACTTGGCCTATTAAAACAGTCAGCAAGCTGAAAGCAGGACTTAGAAATGATCAGGACATGGGGCCTGTGACAAATGTGATTATAACTCTGATGTCTGCTCTGCTGGGAAACTCCAGTGACAAACACCCTAAAGTGAAGCGGTTAACTTTCAAGACTGGATCAAAAGGGAGAAGTGTGCATTTCCATTACAGATCCCCAGAAGTAGCAATGAAAAGCCATTTGCAAACCAAAAGTCAGCAAAGAAGGTACCAAGTCAGGTGGGTACCACTTCCCTTTACTCAGCCCCAAGTATGCAGGAGAGCCAGAAAGCTCAAGACAGGCACTTGGGGGCCAGGCCAGTCCCTTCAGGAAAGTCTCAGTGGCTCCCCAGCATGTATGAGCCTTCAGGGGTCCTATTATCCTGGGGTTCAATGGCAAGTTTATTGGGGGTACACTTTATGTGAAGTTTGGAGTGAAGCATTTTTGTGACAAATTCTTTGTTCCTCCTCATTTGGGAGGATATTATCTCTACATCCACTTTCTCACCTTCCAAGTCCAAATTATTTTGGACTTGTGATTTGGCTCAGAGGATTTGGCTTATTCTTTCTCCTTCCTCCCTCCCTCCCTCCCTTCTTTCCTTTCTCTCTTCTCTTCTCTCTCTCTTCTCTCTCTCTCTCTCTCTCTCTCTCTCTCTCTCTCTCTCTCTCTCCAGTGTCTTGGTATCCCTTGCTGGCCTGAACTTGCTAGCCCAGACTAGCCCTAGTGACCTGGTGATCCTCCTGACACCCACATATACATCCTGAGTGCTAGAATTACAGGCATGTGCCACCACAGGTATTTTCTTCTTCTTTTTTTTTTTTTACAACAAGTGTGTATTACTTTTGAATAAGAAAAGGAGAGTGCTTTGTTTGTGTTTTACCATAAGAACTTAAACCACATGCCGTAGCAGGAGTACACAGTACTCTCGTTTTCACCTGGGGACTTTGTTCTCACAAATAATGGAAACCCTGTCAGGGAGTGTGGCTGTCTATAGGGGAAGATGCCCTTGGCTTTGAGGAAATGCAAAAAAGGAATAAAATATGGAGAGGGAAGAGTCTGATTTCAAACCCCATCACCTCGTTCCTCAATTTCTACCCAGATAATTGTTACTTCTTTCCCATCTAATCACTATTGGCATGTTGGATGTGCATCACTGGTTACAAAGTGACCTCAGTTTTCCAAATGCAGTCATTGCCAAGGCTGCTCACTGGTGTTCTGGTGCTCCTTCCAGGCACATGCGTGGCCAGAGTGCACCTGCCACAGGGGGCATTCCCATAGCACTGGCTAAGGCCAGGGGAATGTGAGAAGTGTAACTTCCAGGCAGATGCCTTTGAAAGGATGGCATGAGATGGGCTCTGCTCCCTTCCCCATGCCATGACAACCACATCACTACAAAGGGTGGGGACTCCCTTAGCCTGGATCCAGAGACTGAGGACACACAGAACAGAGTCCCAGCCAATACACATGCTGTTAAAAAGTCAGATATTTGGGGGCTATGGGTTATTGCAGTAGCCATAGCCTAGCCTGTATCTATATATCACATGTCATACGTAAACATAACATAAATAAAATTAAAAGTGACCCCCACCCCTTTTAAATGAAAGAACAGTTCAGAGCTTCAAAAACGTTTGAAATACCCTTGTTTTAATATATCCTCCTCAGTAGTTGACACAATGTTGCTAATGACACAGCCTCTCTGGGCTGGAATTCAACAAACCTCACTGATTCCCCTCTGATGGCCTCTGCCTGCTGTGGAAGAGCTGTTTAGGGGACTGGGAAAATTACAAGCTGCAAGCATCTAGGGTTTGAACTTGGGGCCTTGTGCTTGTTAGGCAAGTGCTCTACCACTTGAGCCACACCTCCAGCCCTTTATTTTGTTTCAGATAAGGTCTCACACTTGTGCTCAGACTGGCCTTGGACCATGATCCTCCTACCTTTGCCTCCTAAGTAGCTGGGATCATAGGCATGTGCAACCACACCTGGCAGATACTGAGGCTTTTGCTGCTTCAGAAATGATCACTCAGGAACCAGCTTGAGGAATGCATCCCTCAACCTCAGCTTTTCCCTCCCTGCAAAGCCCCCTTTCTTTAACACTCTGACTTGCAGATGTTTCCCTTTATTTAATTACTACACTGGGATTTTGTTGTTGTTGTTGTTGTTAAAAAAAAAATAGCTAAGCCTCCAAGAACCAGAAAGGGAAATGAATCCTCCCCTGAACATAGTATGGCAAAACAATTATCTGGCTTTTCTTCTCCCCTCTCTCCCTTGGAGGTACCAGGATATGCAATCAGATGCTTTTTCTACTTGAGTTAACAACTAGCTGTACCTAGGCAGTGTTTACTAGCAGCCACTGCAGTCTACAAAATAAGAGCTAGTGGACAGCCCTCTGCCATTCATGACTGGCAAAACCAAGGAATCAGCCAACACCTGGCCCACTCCAGGTTGTTTCAGCACACCTAGGGAAGAACATAGTCCATTTCACCAGAAGGTTGAGCCAAAATCTGCCTCCCTCCCAACTTCCTTCACTGGGTTCAACTTCTCCCCCTCGGGACCATAGTACAAGACTAATTTTTTTTTATCTTCAAGAATTTAAAAGAGCTATTTCATTCCCAAGTTTCCTGTCTTCTAAGCCAAACAACTCTGGTTTGCTACACTTCACCTGATATGAATTCTAGTCCTCAATAAAACTAATTATACCCTTGAAAAGAAAGCAGTGATAGTCTCCTGATTAGAGGGATTCAATTCAGTAAAGATTCTTCACAAGTAATTACAGGCTTCAAGCAGTTCCAGAAAAAACCCCAGTGAATTTTTTTCTTATAATTCTATTCACGTATGCTATTCACATTTATCAAGTCCTTAATATGCTCCAAATACCTGCCAGGCTGTGCACTCAGGATCCAAAGATGTCCTCATGGAGCGTATAGTCTAATGCAGCTATTGATAAAGTCAAGAACTGAGATCAAATGCAGGAATCAAGTATTACTAAAATAATCAAACACATCAGAGCATCATTACAAAGCAAGATATATGATGTGTAGGACAGGAACCCAGTTCTAGGTAAAGCTGTCCTGAATGGGAATAGAGGCATGCATGGAGACAGCAGAAGGGAGATCCATTGATTCCTGAGCTGACAGACAAAGGTGAATAAATAGGAAGAAGAGGAAGGAGCTTCCCAAGAAGAAAGAACAGTATGGGCAAGGGACTTGTGGAAACTTGTTGCTTTGAAAGAACCTAGATAGGCTCATGTGGGCGTGAGCAAATGAGGCTGGAGGCACTGACAGAGGACAGAGCATGAGGACTTTGAGCTATGCTGAGAATTTTGGCCTTTCTTTCTGAGCAAGAAGAAGTAATGATAATTTGGGGCAAAAAGTAGGGGAAGACAATTGGTAACATGATCTAATTTCTATTTTAAACAGTGATTTTGGCTGCAATGTGGAGCAAAAGATGAAGAGGGGCCAGGAAGAGTTTCAGGTGGAAGTCATTGCATTAGTCCCAGAAAGACAAAATAGCAGTGCACACAAGAGCAGAGATGAGAAATGGCCTGGACCTGGGGGATGTACCAGTTAATTTTCATTGTCAACTTGATTTGATTAAGAAAGGAGATTAGTAAAGCATACCTCTGGATGTGTCTGTGAGGGGTTTTCTAGAGAGCATTAGATCATGAGAGCTGATGAATGGTTTAATCCACTGATGGGATCAAAATTTGAATAGATTATTGGCAAGTGGTGGAATTTTCAGCCTGGTAGGAGGACGTAGGTCACTGGGGAACGTGTCTTTGGGGGCTATTCCTGGCCCCTCCTGTTGCTTCTGTCTACTTCCTGTCTGCCATTAGTTGAAGAAGCTGCTGCCCTACACACTCCTGTCACCATGGCATTTAGCACAATTACATGGACCAAGAAACCATGAGCCAAAATTTCTCCTTTTAAATTATTCTCTCAGGTATTTTGGTCACAGTGACACAAAAATATCTAACACGGGGAGGTCAACACTAGCAGGACTTGGATGTAAAAAGGGTGAGGGGTAAAAAGGGTGAGGGGCGGGAGGTCAGGGTGAAGCATGACTCCCAAGTTTCTGAACACAAACCATGGGTAGCTCCCTGGGAGAAGTGGTCAGAAGACCACTAGCTCTGTTGGGGAAGATAATGAACTTGGGATCAGTTATATATGCATGGCAAATTAAGTTAACTTAAGTGGTCTAAACTGTCTTAAGATCTAGTGCAGATAGGAAGCCTAGGAGTACTCTCTGAAATGAATCAGTTTCACCTTGTAGGGTTATTGGGAGGAATACACGAGCTAACAAATACAGCCTGTGAAATACTAAGTGCTTAGTAAATGTTACCTTGCATTATAAATCAAACTGAGTAATATCTTTTCAAGAATGGACAGCAACTCAAAAGAAAATTCAAACACAGATGTTAGTGCTCGGTGATAATAAACATAATCGTGCCTAGAAGTTACTGTGAACTTACTTTGCTAAGTATTTTACATACTTTTCATCTTCATAACAACTTTAGAGTAGGATATTATCCCACTTTGCAGATGGGGAAAGCACAGGTATAAATTAAGCTACTTGTTTAAAATCACACAAACAGAAAAGATACAGCAAGATGGAAATGTCCATGCACTGCTGGTGAGAGTGTAAGTTGATACAGTTTTATGGAAAGCAATTTGGCAATTGCCTAAGAGTCAAGGTCAAGTCTATCCTAAGAAATCCATCTTATGGAAATAATTAGAGAAGCAGACCAAGGTCTGTGTACAGGATGTTCAAGATGGCATCACTTA